TAGATACTTATCTTTCTATGAGACGATCTGTTCATTACTGACATTCTTATTTAATCGATCTGATCAATTTATCTTTAAAGCATTTTCAGCTACTAAATTATGTCATGAATGCTATAATCAAGAATTTCTCCAATGACTCGGATTAGAGCTACTAATGTAACATCTTTAAGCATTCACCTGCCTCCCTCTTCAGTTTTCTTCTAATCATGGACCATTCTGTATGTGAGCAGCTGGTATTTCAGCTCCGGAAATGCACGAGCAGACACAGCACACATCTACACTTGCACTGGCAGAAGGTAACGTAACATAAAGCAAAAATAAGTACATCAAGGCAGGCTCCGATGCTGACTCCAAAATCACATCACAGAGGGAAAGAGGCCATGAACTTAGAAATGCCTGGGTTGCAATCCTGGTTCTACTCAGGACCTCAGCTTCCTTACATGTAAAATTAGAGAAGTAAAGAAAGCATTTCACAAAGTGAACACCATACACAGTAAATACTACCACCATCACCAGCCGCACCAGGAGAGGCTGACCCATGTTTCCCAGCTGTCCCATAACAAATAATTAGGACTAGTCACCATCTTCCCCTCTACCCTCTCTTTTATAAAAGCTTTACTGAGATATAATTTACATACCATAAAATCTATCTTTTTAAAGTATCTCACTCAGTGGTTTTTAGTATAGTCACAGAATTGAATGACCAACAGTTTTATCACCCCCTCCCCTAAGAAGTACCATAGTCATTCTCAGTCACTCCCTAAGACTCTCTCCCCCAGCCCCGGGCAACAACTAATCCATTTCCAGTGTCTGTGGATTTGCCCCTTCCCGACATTATAAATAAATGGGATGATACTGTGTCTGGCTTCCTTCACCTTGCATAGTATTTTCCAAGTTCATCCACATTTTAGCACTAATCAGTACTTCCTTCTTCTGGCTGAATAATATTCCACTGTAGGCATATATCACATCATGTTTATTCATTTGTAAAGCCGATGGACATTTGGGTAGTTTCCATTTGGGGGCTATTATGAATAATCCTGTTATTCACATCTCAAAGTTTTTTTGTTAACATATGTTTTCATTCCTCCTGAGTATACGCCTAGGAGTGGAATGGCTCAGTCATGTGGTAACTCAGCTCAACTAGTTGAGCAAATGCTTAGTTTTCCAAAGCGCTATACCATTTTATATCACCAAATGCAGTATGTAACAGTTTCAATTTTCCACATCCTTGCCAACATTTGTTATTATTGATCTTCTTAACTATAGCCGTACTAGTATGTGTGAAGTATATTTCATCATGACTTTGATTTGCATCTCCCTGCTGGTTAACAATGTTCAGTATCTGTTCATGTGCTAACTGGCAATGTATACAGCTTCTTTGTAAAAATGTCTAGTCTGATCCTTTGCTTATTTTTAAATTGGGTTGTCCTTTTATTCTTGAGTTGTAAGACTTCTTTATATATTCTAGATACTAGTCCCTTCTGAAATATATGACTTGCATATATTTTTTTCCATTCTTTCAATCCCCTTTTCACTTTGCTGATGGTATCGAAAAGTTTTGATTGAAGCACATAAAATTTAATTTGCAGGACATTAAATTTATCTGTTTTGTTTTTTCTTTAGCTGCTCATGCATTTACTGTCACATCTAAGAATCAATTGCCTGATCCAAGGTTATGAAATTTTACTTCTAGTTATATAGTTTTAGCTCTAACACTTATGTCTATACCCCATTTTGAGTTAATTTTTGTATACTGGTATGAAGCAGAGGTCCAACTTCATTTCTTCTGCATTTGTATATCTGGTTGTCCTACACCATTTGCTGAAGAGACCATTCTTTCCTCTTCTGTACTGTCTCGGCATTCCTCTCTTTCAAAGGCACTTTCAGAGAATTTCACTCTTTTTTTTCTTTTTTTAATAAAGATTTTTATTTATTTATTTGACAGAGAGAGATCACAAGTAGGCAGAGAGGCAGGCAGAGAGAGAGGAAGGGAAGCAGGCTCCCTGCTGAGCAGAGAGCCCGATGCGGGGCTCGATCCGAGGACCCGGAGATCATGACCTGAGCCGAAGGCAGAGGCTTAACCCACTGAGCCACCCAGGCACCCCAGAGAATTTCACTCTTGTTAGGTACACATCACTCTGATCTTACTACTTTTCTACTTTGCTACTTTTCCAACTACTTTTCGTTACTCCACTTGAACCTCCTCATCTCTGAAGCAAATCTATGTTATATTCACTTTATTTCAGCTTGGCCAATCACTTACCTTTAAAAACATTTATCAAGTACCTATTATGTACCAGGCAGTATTCTAGATTCTCAGATATAATACCAATAAGGCACTAAGAGTTCTTGAGGATGGTTATAAAATTGTACTGTACTTCCTGCTGGAGATGGGAACAAAGCACCAAAGATGCTGAAAAAAACAGAACCACCATTTCTGTGTTGGAGGTTCTTGAGAGGGTCACACTGAGGAGGGCCATCTGAATGAGAAAAATGACTAAACTGTTAGACAAAGAAGAGCTCTAGAGTATTCCAAGAACAGGGAAATAATGGGCAAAAAAGTATGTAGCTGAGAAAAGACCAGATATATCCAAAGGACAGAAGTTTAAGGTGGCAACAACATAGGCCAACAGGAAAAGGTGACCCTTGGAAGGAGAACAAAGTTAACTACTGAAAATCCATCCACCACACTAGAGAACTCGAACTCTGCTTTGATGGGATGTACACCCAACTCTAGATCTGAACAAGGGCATCACATGTATTTGAGGAAGAGAACTGTGGGGATATGACGAAGAATTGAACTAATACACACAGGGACAGACTAGTGTTGGGCAATTCACAGATATGTCCAGCTGGGAGGAGAATTGGGGTGTGGGACTCTTTCTTTCCACAACTACATGACAAAATGTACTTTGCTCCTTAGATCTCTTGGTGTTAACAAGCCTCCTAAGACATCTCACACCTGGTTACACCCTCCTCGTTTCTTTGAAGGATACATGTCGTGAGTTTTAAAAAGATGTTGTACAAGCATTCTACCAGTTTCTTAATTTTCCTCCATATTAATAGTCAGTTTTACTCAGATACTTCACAGTCAGATATCATTAAAGAGACAGCGTGACCACTGAAGGTCACATGGCTCTGGGCCCATCCTCTGATCCAGGAGCCCATCTAAATGAAGTTAAATATATACCTTATAGACTGTTTTATTTTTCTCTTTTCTCCACTCAGAATCCAAATGATTCCATGTCTACTCTTCTTCCAACATCCTCTAGCATTTTCTGCCATAATTCTCAGTTGAAAAAGTGCTTCGTTATGTTTCCATCATCAGTTTTACAGAAGTGAGTTTACAGCTCTGCTATTAAACCCTTCTGTTTGGATTTTCTATAGATGTTTTTATAGACTTGGAAATATACCACAGTATAAAACGTCTCTATTTTGCCTAGGACTCCTAATAAATGTTTTGCGATTAGTGCAATCCCAGCAACACCACCAGCAAGAAAAAGCCCACTGCTGCTTCTCTTCACTAGAATGTCCCAACTTTCTGTTATTCCTCAAATGGGCCTTTAGTATAAAAGGAGGTGCTATTTCTGCTATCCCAATTGTGAGAACTGTACTCGGGTCAATGGAATGAAACACTTCCTCAAAATAAATGAGCAGGAGACATAATGGAATTCTACATTCCTTGTTCTTTTCTGTTAACTGACTGGTGACGTGAACGGGATCCATCCTCACGTGTCCTGGCTGGAAGGGCCCGCTCTGCACCTCTCCTCCCAGTGAATTCTTATTTACAAAGACTCATGTAAAACAAATCATTTGTTTGCAACAGCGGGGAGACTGGCCAACAGTCTGGCTACTCAAAAAAAAAAGTCAAATTGGCTCACATAAAAGTAGGGATGGAAAAAATGAAATTCTAGTGGCTGCACTATGGCTCAGACAGTGAAGAAATGGCTAAGTTTTAACATCAGAGGAGGATAAATCTTTGATTCCTGCCTGCACTTTAGCAATTTTCCTATGCAGCTGCCAATTTTTTTTCACCCTAGCAAAATCATTAAAAACTGAAAAATACAGATTTTTAAAACCACTTCAAAAGCAGACAGAGGGACAGAGAAAGAATAGAAAGGGAAAAACTCTAGAAGGATAAGCCAGAAAATGTTAATGCGATGATTATCTTCTGTGGGTAGTAAAACTATAAATATTTTCTTCTCTGTCTTTTCTGATTTTTTCCTAAGGAGTACAGAATGCTCTTATAATCACAACAAAAGAGCAAAATGGGCAGAGAGGAGAAAAATAGTCAATTAGGCCCTTGGAAAGGTAGCTGTCCAGGGAGAGGGGCAGGGAGTGTTCCTCGTACACTGAGCACAGGACAAAATGAAAGTCATGTACAGACATCCATATTCCAGGCACCCTGAATACTGTAAACCTTGTCCAGTTTAGCCTTTAACATTTTTCTTAATCCTTCCAGCGTACCTCTGAAATTGCTTTTACTCTTTTAACTGCTACTGCTGTTTTCTTATGAAAAAAGTCAAATTTCAGAGAAATTTAAGTACAAACAGCCAAGTTTTCACATCACACTCAGCAATTCACCACGCCCAGGGAAGGCCACAGTACAGAGAAATGCGACTCGAATAATAAAGAGCCCTCCCCTCACTTTGTTTTAACGATGTCTCCTTTGGTATTTTTACCAATTAGGTCTACAAATTCTTTTTTTTCCAGCAAACTGTGGTACAGATGGAGGGAAATCTCTGCGGCACAGCCAAATGTGAACACACCTTGGCTGAGGACTGCCTGATAGCCCTACTGTGTTTCTCTCCCTCTGGCTCTCTGGCAAGTCAAGAAGCAAGACTTGGGAAGGACCATGTGGTGCTACCAAAATGATGACAACTCTCAGGTTACCCGACTCAATTAATCTTGGAATAAATTTTTGAAGCCTCAACATATACTCTTTTGGAACAACGACATTGCCCATAGTGGGTGGAGAAGCCCATCCTGTGGTTTACCTGGGAGATATAACCTGGAGGCACATGGATGGGAGGAATGGATCCATTGGGTGACATCATGGGAACTTCAGCAGGTCCTATGGGAGACAAGAGTAAGATATTAACCACTGAAGACATACACATTATTTAAAATAATTATTGGTATTTTTAGAATTAATATACTATCAAAAATGAAGAGAATTACTTTAAGTATTTTCTCTTCAGTAATTGGTACATCATGCCTAAGAATTGAAATCATGGATGAAAAGAATTCTCCAGCTGTATAAATCAATAGTAAAAACAAACAAACAAACAAACAACACAAAACTATGAGCATTTTTATAAATATTTAATGATTCCCAAAGCCTCAAGTTCCATAAACGAAGGCTGCCCAGTAAGAGTCATCTAACAAAGTAGGGCAAAATGGTTGGGTTTTTCTGCCTTAAAAGAATGTATTATTAATAAATGCTTAAACAAATAAAAGTTTAAATATGTCCCATCTCCTCTGGTTTAAAAAGCTCCCATACAATTTGGGTTTATAATTTTCATTTCAATTATAATTTTCAGTAAGTTACTATGACATACCAATTATCTAAAATAGAAGAAAACTTTAAAATACTCCAAACGAATGCCTCTTATGTTATAAGGCAGGGGAAAAAAGAGATCAAATTTTCAACCTAGGCATAATTAGGAAGATTCATGTCAAATTTACCCAGATTATTTCAAAATAAAGCATTCAATTAACAAGGTGTTAGTTTCAAAATATTAAATTCAATAAATATTAATCCCATGTCTACAGCAAACCAAGAACAGCAAAACTCAGTTACCTGAGACATAGTTTGAGTTAATATTTAATTACAAAGAAACTGATCATCCTAACATTAAAATCAACTCCTAACACCCTTCCAACGATCCTATGATTAAGTGGTTTCTCTAGACGTGCAAGAAGCTCACAGTTACTGGGTTTCAGTTTGGTACCTGGCTCCCCTAGTCAGCAACCCACTGCCCCTACGTCAACCCAAAGCTGCCTTTCTAGTCTGAGATGCGACTTCCTGGCTCCAAGTGCCTAGTGTTGTTTATTTTCTTTCTCCTAATGTGTGTTGTGCTGCCGGCAATTAAAACTGTTAGGCTGTAACAAAAACCGAGAAAAACACAATCCTTTTCTTGGCAAAAGAAGACAGATCCCTTCCCCAAGTGCTGCATTTACACTGTTAGCAAAAGGCCGCTTTCCCCTCAGAGTAAAATCCAGTGCTCTAACGCTTCGCAGGAGAGGACTGGTGCGGGATGTGGAGGAGACAAGGATACCGGGTGCCTATCAGCAGGTCTGCAAGTATAGGGGGAAAAAAAACAGGGGCAGGGCAGAAAAGATGTGAATATTCCTATAAAACTCCTTAAGACTAGAGTTCACTCCAACTGCAGGGACAATACAAAACAGCAAAACTACCTGATAAGCTCTAACATATACAATACTCTCACATGAGAGCAGTCTCATGGGTTAACACACTGGTAATCAAATAAAGCAAAAGACAACAACAGGAACATGAGAGGGGGTAACTGCAAGACCGCACTCCATTTTGAAGTACGATTTAAGCTGATATATTCACCAGCCACTGAAAGCGCTTTCCAAATCATCTTCCAACCCCATCTTTCTTGTCAGCCTCAGTATTTTGGCCATAGCCATTAAGACATTTAGGTATTTAGCAAGTATTTTTACTTGATCTGACTCACTTAAAAAAAAAAAAAAATCACAAGCAAGTATATCAGTCTTAGCCTGTGCCAGGTTTCACTACCTGTGAAACCGGAGGGGTCAATACACTCGGTTCTAGAAGCAGGCATCAAAATCACAGCTTCCGCCTGGGTTTCGGTCCCTAGCTCACTATTCACGCTGGTTGTGTGGCCCTAGACCATTCACTTAGACTTTGTGAGCCTCACTTCTCAACAGGTGCACATAAGGATAACAATTCTTACCCCACCAAATTGAGTTTAAAGTTCAATAATACATGCAAAAAGTGCTTTAGAGCACAGCACAGCACAATAATCGCTCATCAAAATGTTAGTGATCTTTACAATTTTTTTCATTTTATTCATAACTTTTTTGCTTTTTCTTATTTGTTACAATTACAAGGAGTACATTTTTTTTTTTAATAGTTCATGTTCCTGTAACCCAGAAAATCAACTAGTACATGCTTCGGACAATATTGCCTTAAGAGGTAAACCTTGCTCATGGCATAAATGCAGCACAGACGGTGAACAGAAATGCTACCATCTCCACAAAAGTATTGCTTTTCAATCACCAAAGTATATACCAGGCAAACAGTCTCTTAACCCCAGGCATGACCCCTAAAACTGTTAAAGTCATTTGTATAAAATGCTTTAAAGCATGTAGGACAAGTGAGTGATTTACAGCCAGAAAATGTTTTCTTCCTGGCCTTGATTTCAAAAGTAGCCAAATGACTTTAACATGCTTGTTCCCCCTTCCTCCTGTCACTGTCATCAAACCCTTTCAAAGGGCATTGCGAAATATATAGTGATGGCTCCTGAAACTCATCTGTGCCTTGGAACCCTAAGTTCCTCTCCTTTCTGAAATAAACCACTGCACCCACAGGCACTTAGGAGTGGAAAAGCTAGCAAAATGAAATCCATTCACAATGGGGGTAGGAGAAGTAAGTGTTTCTCTTGAATTCTTAACTTCCCAGTGAGTTAGTTGAGCCTCTGCTCAACTCTTTGTGTTTCAGAAGCTCCTGATCTTATTACAACTCTTCCCTAATTAAAACAAACTTCTCTTCCTAAACTTCTAGGTTTCTTTTGATTTTTTAATCGATACCGTTTAATCAACACACAACACTTAAATAAGTCTCTTAGAATACTGTGAAAATGCTCTCTTCTTGTTCAGACTAACAATGGATATATGAGGTGGGGAAGCCACATAATTTTCTCAAACAAGCCAACCTCCTCTCTGACTTCACTGGGAAATCACTGAACTATTAAACTTGCGAGGGGGGCGGTGGTACTTTAAACCTCTGAGGTATTTGGAACCCCCCTTAATTAAACACTTATGTTACACATAGGTGGGTTTACACAGATATATGTATACATAGATTAAATAATTTGAAAACAAAAGTAAACAAACATATACTTCCAAACTACAGTTAGATTTCTTTCTTTATTGAGAAAGTAATTAGGAAGCAAGCTCAGCTAGAGTTCTTCCGCAGACAGATGAAAAATGTCACATGCATGATTTTTAGGATGCAAGCAGTATGCTTGCTAAGAGCCAAGTAACTCCATGAAAAAATGCCTTTAGAAATTTGATCAATTTCAGGTTTTAGCCTATGATTTCAAATGTCAAGAATTCCTTGTTGTCACTGAACAAGATGTGAGAAACAAGAACTATGACTGTTTATACTCATTAAAAAATTTAACTGTGATGCAAGTACATGGTCTAGTATCTTAAAAGGCAGCTAGTATTTGTTAATGAATTGATTTTTTATCTGCTTATAGCAAACCTTAAACAAGAAAGGTTGGAGAGCAGTTTAGTCAATCAACAGTAATTCCTGCAAAGATGCTAGGACTTTACTCCCACATCAAAGAGACTGCAGGAAAGCCCAACAGTGCTGTATTTTTCAGAACCACACATGTCCATGGAGAGCTTCTGAGCCCCTGCCAAGGCTGTGAGTGAGGACATTCTGCTTCACTCTGTGCTTCTCCTCCTGCTACCATTGACCCCCAGAGCTTACACACGTAGATAATCCATGCTCTGATGCTAAACTCAGAGTAATCACCCATTCTGGGGCAAGGTTAACTAGATTGGCTTGAGGTGAGCGTACAAAGGAGGGTCAGAAATCTGACAGAGGTGGACAATTAGAATACAGGGTATAAATTACCATTTAAACTGGCTTTAGGAAAAGACCAGCTATAAATAAATAATTACACCACAATTTTGGACAATTTTAAACGGTATTTTTAAAAGTTGAGTATTCACCAATAGGTAAACAAGTAGTGAATAAATGGAATTAATTAGTGCATTTGTCTACATATGGGTACTTGTGTGTCCAAATGGCTATTTGCAACAAATGGCAATGGATCACATTCTTATCTTGATACTTAAATATTTCTTATCTTGATTACTTAAATATTATCTTATTCAAAAAAGATGTAAAGTAGCTCAGATGACAACACTGCAAGATAAAAGAAAGAAAAATAAAGCTAAGGCAAAATAATGATGTGACAAAAATCCAAAAAACACTGTAAAAAATGACCACTGTGTCTCAGTAGCCAAAAGAGACATTCTGGCTGGCAACAGTAGTCCTAAGCATATTATAGTCCACAGCTAGCAGGTAAGCAGATAATTAAGAGTGAAAAAAACTCTCAGAACAAATGTTCTAAATAAGTGTGCACTGTGCTGTCTGCCATGATCCAAGACTGAATATGAAATGGGAGGGTTTCAGATCAACCTGGTGAATTACTAATAATGAGTCTCCAATTATTGATGGTGACTCAAGACATGCAGACAAGCTAAGAGGTTGTGTAGGCACTTTGGGAAACTCTGACATTCTTTTCCTTCATTTATTTTTTTAATTATTCAACACTGACTAATCTCACAAGAGAGCTAAAAAGAATACAAAGAAATAAAGCAGGTCCTCAAAACCCAAGTCCTGACCTCAAAGAAACTTAAAATCTAGTGCAATGGCTCTTAAATTTTAGTGTATACCAGATTCACCGGGAGTGTTTCTTAAAATCCAGACTTCTAAACTCTACTTCCCACAGTTGCAGAATCAGAAAGTCTGGGACAGGTCCCAACTATTAGCATTTCTAGCAATTTTTCAAGTGATATACTTGCTGCTAATGGGCCATACTTTGATAACCTCTGACTTGGGGGGTTACAAGATGAAAAAGCACCCATTGCTAACTAACATCATACCCAATGGGTAAAGATATCTCTCCCCCTAACATCGGGAATAAACAAAAATGCTCACTTTCACCACCACTCTTCAACAGAAAAGAAGAGGCGGTGTCCAGACTGTAAAGGGAAGAAGTAAAACCCTATCTACTCACAGATGACATCATCGTATATGTGGAAAATCCTACCGATTCCATTAAA